ATATAATTTAAATTTGTAGATTCGTGATAAATGCTTGTGTAAAGAATGATTTAATGAAAAATTACAAATGAATTTTTGATACAGCAGATACTGTAAATCCTACTTTATAACCTTCTTAATCAAAATCCCATAAGTTCTAACATCCTCTATTACCGGCGAAACACAAAATCCACCTCCCACCTTCTTGAATGTTTCCGGCCGAACTCTACTCTGAAACAATACCATATATTTTTCCCCTCTGTGCGTAAATTTTGTTGCATATTTTTCAGCCAATTCGATTTTTGGAGTTGTATAAACCCCTCTTGAAAACCATAATTGCTCTGCATTTAATGAGGATATGATGCGACTTAGTGTGTTTAGTTTATCTGCCAATAATCTTATCGATCTGGTGTTAGAATTTACTTTTTGATTAGACTGCTTCTTGGAGGCAATTCTGTACCCCGCATCTGCCATACTTTCGCCTTTATACTGACCGACTCCGTGATATGCTACTACCCATTCATCGTCTTGAGAGATGTGCTTCTTGGATCTTTGATCCTCTCTTCCCAGCCATTTATTTTTTAAGCTATTGTTGTTTCCCTCGAATTTGTCTTCGCTAGGAAAATCTTCATACTCGTCGACCACTTTTAATGCATATCGTTTCCAACCCAATGGTTGTCGATATCTCTTTCCTCCTCTGAAAAATTTTTTTTTATCCTTGCTGATGGCCGTAAAGTCACGATCGTGCTCGGGTTGTAAATGAGATGAATTGATGTAACCCGTGGAAAGCTCGGAAGGGGATTTTAGAACGCGCATTTTTATAATCGGAGCAGTGTTCTCGGTGAAATTGTGTGAACTCAGAAGTGATCGCGGACCCTGCGTGTATTCGACGATATATTTAGAGAGTGGATGGTGATCAAGAAGGATTTGACCCAGATAGAGAAGTTCAACTTGCGAAGTGGTCGGAATAGATTTGCGAACGCGAATAATGGATTTCAACTCTTGAATAGTGGAACCGAGTGAAATGTAGATTGTGATAAATTGTTCATGGGAAGAATCTTCGGGGTTTTCTCCGGTTGCGGCTGTTTGTATTATTATCTCTTCAGTACCAGATCGTATTTCTGAATAGCGGATATCTAAATTAGGTACTGAACCCGTGACTAAATGAGAGGTATAAACGTTTGCTTCGTAGAATCCATGAGATTGAGATTGGTTTGCATTAATGAACTTGGCCTGCGCCATTTGATATTCGTGTTGGGTGACAATATGTGCACCAGAAGCTGCAGTAAACGCAGCAGCGATTAAGGATTGATTCTGTTGTTGAATCGAACCATTCATCTTTAATAATATGAAAGATGATTTGAAAAAGAAAATCTTTTGTCTTTTATAATTAAGGCCAGTTAATTATACGTTTAATAATATACAGTATAAAATATTCGCCTTTTATGACCGAATTAATTTAACAAAGTATTATGTCGAGTACACCAATTTGGGCAATAAAGTCGGAGATTTGATCGATACCGTACATCCGGATTTTGACCATTAAAAAAATTTTTTTTCCACGACGCGTAATATTTGCATATTACATGTTTTAGGGAAATATAGTATTGATAAGGATGATTCTAGGGAAGTGTGCAGAGAAGTGACAATAACCGCGCGTATATAGTCATTCATTTATTTATTCATTCATTCATGGATTTAATCTTTTGAAAAACGGCGTAAACACCACTCCTGCCGTAAATGTATTTATATAATGCAAAAGAAAGTGAATTCATTCTGTTTAATGGCCAATACAATTTTAAAATGGCATTGTATTACGTAATATAAGCATTATTTGTTAAAACTTTAAAATACTGTATATAATCCTTATTAATTTACATTAAGAACAAATCGGATATATTCATTATATATCACATATGGATGCAGATTCGTCGTATGAATTCATCAATTCATCGATGGAATGTTCCTTGGTAAATATGGCGTACATTCAATTTGTATTTTCGTTCATTCCATCGGATTCGGATTTCCATGGATTTTATACATTAGGTGGTTTTGCAACTTGAGTAGCTTAATATTAATCGAGTTTCGCTCGGTATTTGATTAGAAAGAAAAAGTTTCGACAGCAATCTACACCCTTTCGAATCTGTTTTTTTCAATGAAAAATTATCGTGGAATCAGCGTTAATTTTTTTTTTAAAAAAAATTTTCGTGATATTCTGATTTCTTTTATTTTTTACTCTCCAAGATTTTGAAATCCAAACCTCCATCTTTGAAATACGTGATTTAACTTAGTGACGGGGGGAGATTTGTTGAATATTTACAGTATGTATAATGTGATTAAAGGAATTGTTTCAATCAAAAGTAATAACACGTATTACATGGTTTATTGTATACATTTTGGCACGGATTTTCTAAATCGAGACATGCCTAATTAAGAATTCGATAAACGATTTCTTATAACAATATTTCCTATAATATTATTGAAAAAACTTTTATCTCTCAAGTCTTATTTATAATGATGATAAAATATTTTGAAGTACTTCAAATATAAAGTACTCTACATTATTCTGTTTTCAGAAACTTTCTGATATTAATTTTCAATTTTATTACAATTTTCAATCCGATCTTTTTTGCGAAACAAGTATTAAATATAAAACTTTGTATAGTTATTATTATTATTATTATTATTATTTGTGAAATAACATTAAACACAAAAATAATTATAGTCACTTGCAAAAATAGATTTATACTGTATAAATTCTAAAAACTTATGTAAAAAAAAAAAAATGTAAATCATTAATCAAATATAAGTATTCTATAGAATAAAATCAAAGATACAGTATACAAATATATAATTAGAGGAATTAGATTAAAGTACTAGATATACGAGCTGGTTTAATTAAATATCTATAAATCATTTTTTATTAAAAGTTATAATACTAATAAAGTATAATTATATTATATCAATCTTTTAAAGAAAGTAAATTGATTGTGATTTTTAATATAGTTTTAAAAATTAAATAAGATAAAATGATAATTTAAATATTACCTTTTTTACAATAAGTAATAGTAATATTGTTAAATAATTAAAATAAAATTTGTCATTCTTTTACTGTATATACTTTTATTATTATCTTGTTTTTTATTCCAAAGGTTTAATAAACAACTAATAATTATATTCAAAACTTTAAAAATAGAACTTCTCTAATCAAAAATATATAACTCTTTTTACTGATCCTTTAATTACAAATAAAAAAGATATTTATAAAAAACTTTCATATTTTTTGACTAATAAAGTCTTTATATTTTCCTTAAAACAACTTGATGCTTGTTTTCAAGAGTTGCTATTAAACTTCCCTACTTATTTACAAACTTCTTTGAATAAAAACTTGAGCTTTTGATAATCTAAATAGATTCATTTTTTTTTTAACCTGCAATCAGATTAGTATGTCATGTTTTTATTGTATATATGTTAGGTATTTACAAATTTTGTGATTTTCACATACTGACTCACTTGTCGTTAAAAAATTATTTCTCTAAATGCAACCTAGGAAATGATATTTCACTCCTTTACTAATTTGGAATATTTCCTCTAATTA